AGAGGGCTTTTTGGATGAGCCGCTTTTGGATTCTCCTTCAGAGGCTATAGCTGGATCACCTATAAATACAAGAGAGGTGGCTTCAGATCTCGATTTGATGTCTTATCAAGTTAAAGAGAAGCATGTAACTCAATCAGCTGATATACAAGTTCTAGAAGGGCAACCAGGGTGGAGATCGAAACCACAACAAGTTAAGAAAAGAAGAAGCAGGTTCTACAAAACTAAAAAATTTTAAACTACAATTCTTTCTTAGCCAACAGATTATGCCAGTTATTTAAGAGACGATTAAATATAATAAGCGGGATTTATAGAAGGCTGATACATGAAAATATAGCTGAGGCAAATTACAGACTTATACTATTTTGAGAAGAATAACAGATCTCTGCAGTGCTGGTGTTTTTGGGATGTGGAAGATGGCCTGTGATTGATCGGATTGGAACTTTCTATTTTGGATTCTCTGAAAAATGGATTATGTATATGTTGAGCTATAAGGCAAGAGAACTATGGAATAGGGGCATGCAGATGATCTGGCTGTTACCCTAACGTGGTTGTCGGAATTAATAATCTAGACAAAAGACATTACAGAAGATACCATATGGAATATAAATATAAAGTCACTTGGGTTTTTTTTCTCATATACAGAAATACTTATTAATGATGGGGGCAGATGGTAATTGAAGATACTGAATATACTGTTGGAAGCAGGACTTGATGTTACCCTAACATGGTCGATGGAATTAACAATCTAGTTGAAAGACATTACAGAAGATACTATATGGAATACAAATTTAAAGTCATCTGACGGTTTTATTTATATATGGAAATATCTTTTAGTGATATGGGCAGAAGAATAAAGATATTAAATATATTATGTATGGTAGACCTGTAGGATAGTGGGTGAAATAAAATTGATATGGTACAAGGTGATAGGTAATGTTACTGATTGCTTAGTTCAGGAAAAGGGATGTTATGTTTAGATATTAATATACTTAAAAGATTTGAGTTAAGAGATATACGTATGGGGGTGGATTATGAGTAGAATAAATGCCAAATCAGGATTTATTATATAGTTTCATAGCCGAATGTTGTTTGAAACATATAGTATGCGGGGGACATAATAATAATGTTAGAAAGAAATGTTTAGCACATAGGGGGTGGTGTAAAAGGGTGGTAAAGTATTATATAATGTGATATTAATTTGGATTTCATCTTGCAGAAGCCATGGGGCGAGGGGAGGGGGAGGGGGGTTAGGGAGTGGAGGGGGAGGAGGAAAATTTGTATTTGAAAAACTTTTTCAATAAAAAAAAAGTTACATCTGTGGCAGTGCCTCTGCTTTTGCGCGATCAAAATTTGGGTGCTTGGCAGCAAATCTTGCCTTATGATTGTTGGGGAACTGCAGCTCTCCCCATTCATCTATCAGTCTTCTCCTCTCAGACGTTCAACCAGCCCACGAGCACACACACAGCTGCCACAACTCTCGAGACCACATCCTGATCCCTGACTACCTATCCCTGTCCCACCATACCCAGGTGAACAAACCTTTTCTTGTCCCCATCATCCACAGGTCCACCTACACTCTCAGTTTCTGGAAGAGCCTTTCTAGCCTTCAGAACAATCACCTTTGCTAGCTTTCTGGCCAGAAAAGAGCCTTTCTAACCTTCAGAAACAATAGCTAGAAAGAACAGAAGGAAATCTTTGAAGTTGTTTCCTAGGCATGCAATTGCAAATCTCTGTTAATCTTCTATTTATATGATTTATATATTTATAAGATTAAATTCCATGCATGAACTTCAAGTCATTATATGAATTAACCAAAGTAACACAAGTAAGGGAAGAAATGTAAAATGTATGCATATAAAATGTATACTTTTCAAGCATAAGGACCCAGGTTTATCTATAGCATTTCTGTGAGGGAGATAGGAGATTTAGATGGACAGACGGATAGATAGATGATAGATAGATAGATAGATAGATAGATAGATAGATAGATAGATAGATAGATAGATAGATAGGAAAAAAAAGAGAGAGAGAGAGAGAGAGAGAGAGATGATTAACAGATGAAAGGTAGCTCAGGATTTGTTTTGAGAACCAGTGTGGTTAGGAAAGCATTAGAGCAGGTTTTAGTTCTTCCTTAGCCATTGAAGCTCACTCTTAGCCCATATTATCTCACAGAGTTGTTGTGGAGGTAAAAAAAACATAGCTCCTGAAACATTCTTAGATCTAAGCACAAAATAAAATATTTACTACCAAATAACAATGGCTAATCTCTTCAGTGACACTTTTAATCCTGCACAAACAATTTTGCCCAGGTGCTTACCTGCTTTAACAAGGTCATTTTACTCATTTTGGCGATCATTATTGATACCCCAAAAGTGTAAAATCTATAAATTTTGAAGAAATTGGTAGAGATGTCTTTTGATCAGTTTTGATCAGAATCAGTCAGTTGTTTAGTTCTGAAAAATGAAGAGATTTCTACCGAATCTTAGATGCCAATTAGGGGGAAACTCGTAAACTTGCAATTCGTATGTATAGCTCTATACAGCAACTATGCTACCAGCAATCTTTTTAATGAGATGAATGCAGCAAAAGAAGACCGTAATTTGGTAGGTTCTCCCTGTCTGTTCTAAGCAGGGTTGTGCTCTTCATATTCACCCAGCCTCTTTAAAAATTCCATAAATGGCATCGCCTAACTAAATTTTTGTATTCTCTACACTCTATATCCATGTCATAAAAATATTCACTTCACAAAAGTGTATGTGTCTTATCACAGTTGGCCGAATAAAGTATTCCATTCCATTCCATTCCAGTCCAGTCCAGTCCAGTCCACTCCACTCCACTCCAGTCCACTCCAATCTATTCTATGCCAGGCATTACTTGATTTTTCTTTTCTTTTTTACGTTGTAATATATTTCCTTTATTTTTTAAGATCATTTTTATTAAATGCATCTCAGCCCCTTGCATATGCATATCCAGATGCACAGAAACAAACCCTACGTTTTCACAATTTTCACTGTGTCATTTACTAAACAATTACTTTACTGTTAGCAGAGATGGGGAATTTTGATTTGTTGGACAAAATTAGTGCAATTGTCCAATCACTAGCTGGAGGTTCTCTCAAGTATTTTTGTACAACAGACTTCCTAAATTTAACAAGTGGCAGGTAAAAATGTTATGTACGGTCTGCCACTTGTTAAATTTATGTAGACTGTTGAACAGAAATACTTGCGAGAGCCTCCAGCTAGTGATTGGACAATTGCACTAATTTTGTCCGACGAATCAAAATTCCCCATCTCTGCTAACAGTGAAGTAATTGTTTAGTGAACAACACGGTGAAAATTGTGAAAACATAGGGTTTGTTTGTGTGCATTTGCACACTCATATACAAGGGGCTGAGATGCATTTAATAAAAATGATCTTAAAAAATAAAGGAAATATATTACAACATAAAAAAAGAAAAGAAAAATCAAGTTCTCATCCAAACAAATCCACATGAGAGACAATGTCCATCCATTTTGGACATATGCACAAGGTCACTGCATATGTCAAAGGGACAAGGTTTCTCTCATGAAGCACCTTCTGCCTCTTGCCTTTTTGAGTTTTTTTTTTAATCACTGAAGAATCCACAGTCATCAACACTGGATTTAAAAGATATATTGTAGACTTCCACTACAACAAATTGAAAAGGTCTGAACAAATGAACACAATCAGAACATGACTTATGACCATTTTTCACACTTATGACTGTTGTAGCGTCCTTATAGTCACATAATCAAAATTCAGATGCTTGGCAACTGGTTTATATTTATGACCTAAAAAGGGTCATGCGATCCCTTTTTGCGTCCCCCTGACAAGTAAAGTCAATGGAGAAGCTGTATCACAACAATCATGTTACTAACTGAACAATTGCAGTGATTCACATAACAGAAGTGGTAAGAAAAGTTGTAAAATGGGGCAAAACTCACTTAACTTGTTTAGCAACACAAATTTTGGATTCAATTGTGGTCATAGGTCAAGGACTGTATTTCCAAAGAAGTATTATACATCGGAAAAAGTGAGATAACAATGAAGTATACATGCATAGATACGTAAAGTACTACATATTTGAAAAATATATATTCACAGAAAAGGAAAAAAAAAACATGACTTAGTGGACCATGTTGTATGAAACAACATTTTGTTAAAAGAAATGATCAAAGAAATGTATGAGAAAGAATTTTTTGCTGAATTTTGTGTGTGTGTATGTACACACATTTTATATATGTATTTCTACATCTATTTACTTATACAATTTATTAATCTCTTCACTCATTTTTGTCCTATTCACTCATGTATTAGATTTTGATCCTACCTTTTCCACAGGAATTGAAGCTGACATAGCTCTCCTTGTTTAGGTTTCATTCCAGCAACAACGGTTGAGGGAGACTAGGCTGAGTTTGACTGATGTCAGTAAGCTGCTGTGACTAACAGTGATCTTGAACTCTGAGAAAATTCTGTTTTTCCTATTTGCATCTAAACTGCTACATCATACTAGCTTGACAAGTTTTATACAAAAATGAGTAAATGAGGGGGGAAATCATGTAACAACAAATGAGCATTTATGTCAAACAGTTTTTAATCTTACCTCTTAGAAGGATTAGAATAATATCTCAATAAATAGTATATTTTTGTAACATAGAAAATGTTTATACTTTGAATGAAAAGGATTATCTGATCCCTTCCTGTTGGTTTTCAGACCTGGGCATGAATTGGAAAGCATACTGGTCACCTGTAGGTGATCTGTGGTTGGTTTTGGACAGCAGTCATGTACCTATTAAACAGCATTTGACTGCTGGCTCTGATATCCTTTTGGATCACCTGTTAGTATTATACATGAGGACTTTATTTTGCAGGCTTTCCTGTGTGTGGAATTCAAATTGGCATGGTGGGGGATAGGAGACTGAAATCTTGGGGAATTCAGTGGGGAATACCCCAGAGCTTGGGGTATTCTACTCTGTTCTTTTCAACGTCTACATGAAGCTGCAAGGAGATGTTATTGACTGATTTCAGGAAAGGTACCATCAGTGATAATACCCACTTATATATCTCCACCCTAGACCAAATAGGAGATGTGGCAAAAACTTTCAACGGTTGCTGCAAGGGGGATGGATGAAGCAGAGACCATGAATCCTAGCAAGAAAGAACACTGAACATCAGTGTTCTAGTTCCATGCACATTCCATCTATTGTTCCTGAAAGGATTGCACTTCACTTGAAAGAACAGGTACAAAGTCTGAGGAGCAAATAAAAGCCATAGTCAAGAGGGCCTTTGACCTGCTTCAATTGGTCCAAGTGTAACCTTTCTTGAACTAAGAAGATCTAATAACAGTAATTCACACTCTTTTTATTTCCCATTTAGCTTACTGCAAGTTTCTTTCTATGGGACTGCAGGTGAAGTTGACCCAGAAGATGCCACTGGAAAAACTGTAGCTGTGCATTTGTGACCAGTGCTAACCAAAGTAGCAGGATAACCTCTCTGTTGCAGTTGTTCCATTGGTTGCTGGTAGGATTCTGAGCTCAATTCAAGGTGCTGGTTGTCACCAATAAAGCCTTCTATGCAAGTGTCATCTCCAGGTGGTATCTGATCGCTTCTTATGGTCTAGGCTTGAGGATCTCTGTGGGTTCTACTCATAGCAGCAGGAAGGAGACCCAGAGGATCTTCTCAACAGCACGTGTCTCAGTTTGGAATAGCTTGCTTATGAGTCAGGATGGGGAGTAAAAATTGCATTCTTCCACATGAGATTTTGTTCTGGAAAAATCTAACGAAAGAACAGCAGTAGTGGAATTTTAATGATTATTGGGATCATTGTGTTTGTGCAATTGTAAACCATTTTGCATATCGTTTATGTCCACTTTTCCAACTTCTAAAATTGCTGCTACGTATTTGAGTAGGCATTTTACATTTTACATATACAGACAGGAATAGATTTTCCCCCACCCTTTGTTTAACTGTCATATTCATTATTATTTTTTTGAGGACTAACGCTGTAATGTTCATCTAGTCCTCTCCTTAAAATGAGATGACACATTGCTGGCAGTTTGTAGCAATTCTGGCCAGAGGGAGCTCCAGCGGCTGTGGAAAAGTGGACTTGAAATGGTTTATATCCATTCTGATTTGCTTTGCTCTTTTCTAAATTTGCAGGAACAGGATTTAAAATAAGATCTGGCAGGGTAAAATAAAAGTTGGGTCAAAATACATGTTATAATAAGCAGGGTTTTTCTAAAAGGCATATATCTAAGATGGCCTAGTTTGAAAAGAAAGTAGAAGTGCATGGCCTCAGCCTGGATTGTGCATGCAATTAGACAGCTTCCCATTAAAAAAGAAAAAAACCCTATCCATGGCTGCTGTTTCTTTCTTTCTTTCTTTCTTTTTCCCTCAGACACAGCTCTCAGTAAGCAGTACCATTAGAATCAAATAGTAACCCAACAGCATTTTTTTCCCTTCATACAATGCTGTTGGAAACAATTTGATATCATCCGATTGTGTCATTTTTTTTTCTAGCTTTAAGTATATGATAGGTGCTATAATTACTAGCTACCTCGAGCGGTTCTTGTCCTTTTTTTAAAAAATGCCTTTTCAAATAGCGTGTGAGAGCCTGTGGGCTGGCTTATCAATCTATTAACCCATTAAGAAATTATTAAGATCTTTTGCAAATCTTTTGCAAATTCAGTGGTGATCTTCACTAGCAAGCAGGTAGAAGTGTTAATTTAGGTAATGAGTTGATAGGATTGGATGTGGTCTTATAAATCTGGCTAAGAATTTTGCAAGTGGGTCCTTTACTAAAATATAGGAAGATAATGTGACATTCTTTTTAAATTGCAGTTAGGATGTCTGAGGAAAAATCCAGAAGTAACCAAACCTTATTATTAGCATATGAAAAAAAAACATACCCTGAGGTGAAAGCCTAGCTATTAAATGCACCCCCACACATATTATGGGATATAGGATTTTATCAGGAAGTGTATTACTTATGTAAACCAATAAAATTATTTTTCTTTGTTTCAAAACTGTATACAAGTCTGTATCTTGCTGTGCTTTGGCATGCTTGATTTGGCTTAGCTTCCTAACCTTTGCTTCTGCATAGAAATAAATATCTGGATTCCAGTTTACTCTATCCTGTGTAAATTCCTTGGCCTATCATGCCAGGTAATCCAGCGTTGGGCTGGACCAATAGGTGTCACAAGAAAATATTTGAAATTACAAGTAAGGGAATGGCTAAAACCTTTCCATCTTTTCTTCATGGCTAAAAATAGAATTTTGAGCCTGAGTGGGAGTGGGAGTGGAGTAAACCAGTTTCTCAACTTCAGCGACTTCAAGAAGTGTGTACATCAACTCCCAGAATTCCCTAGTTAGTATTCCTTCCTAGGGAATTATGAGAATTGAATTCCACATGCTTTAATGATGCTGAGGTTGAGGAACACTAAGATAAGCAATTCCAGTTACGTCCTCTCCTTTAGAACAAAGGGGAGAAAAATCTGTCCCTTTTGATCTTTTTGAATGGCAGCTCTCATCCACCTTTCTGCTAGGTCAGGCCGGCTAGGGTACAGCTGTCAGATTTCTAGAAATTGAGACAACCATTAGATGTGAGCAAAAGAATACAAAAACAATTTGGCTCACTGTTGTCATCTTGTGATCATACAGATTTCTGCAGCCCGGATCTAGTAGCAGTGGGTTAGAATTGAGAAGAGCTAGAATTCAAAGGCAAGTCATATGTGGCAAGCTGCATATTACCCAATATTGCTTTAAAGGTGACAAACTATTGTTATAGGTTCAAGGTCTCTGATGGAAGAAAGTGACAGATTGGCACAATATCCATCTAAAAGCACCAGCTCTTCCAAGCTAAATCCACCACTATATTCAGTATATTTATTTTTAGGTTTAAATCTAAACTTTTACTTTTACCTAGTCTTCTACTCAGTAGGTAATAAGGCTGAGAAGTTCAGACCTAACGGTTGCTTACCTCAGCACAAGCTCTTTTTGCCTGTTTTCAGCCAAAAAAGAAAAAAATAGAGCAAAATCTGCAAATACATACCTTGCAATCTAAAGAGTGCCAGGATTGAGAAAATTGAACTAACTTTTATAGTGTATTGTGAGAAAATAAGCTTCATTATAGGTGTTTTAACGCATTCCCTAAAATCTGCAACGTTTTCTGGTAGCACTATTTGATTTTGATTATAGGCTATTAATGAGCAAATATGTATTTTTTTTAAAAAAAATACTGTATTTTTCAGAGTATAAGACGCACCTTTCCCCCCCAAAAAAGAGGGTGAAAATCTGGGTGTGTCTTATACTCCGAATGTAGCCATGCCCAGTTTCTCAAATGGAGGATTCAGAGGCTGAAAAAAGCATCAAAAGCGAAGCTTTGAAAAGAAGCCCCCAAACAGAGCTTCAGAGGCTTTTTTTTCTGAAGCTCTGTTTTGGACGCTTTCAGAGGCAGGAAAAAAAGTTTTTTCTGAAACAGAGTTTCAGAGACAGAAAAAACAAAAACAAAAAAAAGCAAGGCACAGAAGTCACAACCAAGGAACTTGTTGCTAAAATTCACCTCTGGGAACAGCTGATTGAGGGTATTCCAGGAGGCCGATCCACCCGCTTTTTTCTTATTTTCCTCCCCAAAAACTAAGGTGCATCTTATACTCTGAAAAATACGGTAAATTGTATTTAAACTTTGTGAATTTCTGAAGGTTTACATTGTAATACCTACTTTACATCATCTAGAGGTGAATGGAAATATATTTTTTTCAGTCTCTACTTTTTAAGATAAATGCATCCCTCTTCAATTTAAGGTTTTAATACTACCGTTCACCCTGTCCCTATTCTTCAAATATCTTAGTATGTACATTTATGTAATACAACATATACTGACCTTTTCCTTTTTTCAAAAAGCAATACTGTTATTTATAACTTTTGATGACTACCATATAAACCAGGGATCAGCTCTGTGGCATCCATATTGCCTGCTCTCTATAACTGTCTGCAAAATCCCAAATTCAATATGACAGATAGAGTACCTGACATAGAAACATTCCACGAGATTTTGGAGATCTACCTGAAGTGGCTAAATTTAAAATATATAGTTTCACAAAATATTTAAAGACATTTCCAAAAGTTTCTGAGATATGGAGTCCTCTCAACTTTTCAGCACTATATTTTTATTTTATTTTTGCGTTAAAAATCTATATCAAACTCACAGTTCCGAAACTATTGTTTAGAGACTTATAATAACAAACACACGTGCATACTGTTATAATCATTTCCTATAATTATAATATGTTTATACTGTTATTTCAACTTTTATGTACATTTATATCAAGAAACATATTTGAACACGTATTACACCATTTTTTTTCCCATCATCATATTCAACTTTCAGAGACTGCCTAGGCAAGTCTCAGCAGTCCTTTTAGACAATGTTTTACATAAGTGATTTGCCATTGCCTCCTTCCAAGAGCTGGGATAAAGTGACTGGCCCAAGTCAGTAGGCTTTGGTCTTAAAGTAAGACTAGAACTCACTGCCTCCCAACTTCTGAGATGATGCCTTAACCACTACACCAAACTGGTTCTCTATCACAAATTTAGACGAATGCAAATCTCAAAGGATCACTGAATTTTCTTTTACACAAGGATTCAGATTTGTAAAATTGAGTTTTCAATGAAATATGAATTTCAAAATTTGTTCCTCCATGCCTACATGAAACAAAATTAACAACAACCTGCATTACACTAAGTGAAGACATAAAATGGAATGTGAAACGTAGCTAAGATTTTTTCCAGATGGAGGTTCTTGTAATATTTCAAAAAGCTTCACACTAATTGCATCTGAACTTTAAAGTAATAATGATTATTTATTTATGTGTTTTAATGAATATTTATTATCCTGGTCTTCCTTCTAAAGTTTCAGAACAGATGTCAGTTAAGAGTATGAGCCACTACTAAATTAAAATTAATAAATGAAATACAGCTGTATCCACTTGATTTGAAATAATAAAAATACAAACTCTGCAAGAGTTTGTTTGGATACATCCTGGCTGGACAAATTAGAGATAAAAAACCCGATTAGTTACTCCTTCAGCTCTTTAGAAATATTCTGTTGTCAATGTCTATTCCACAAGGAGAAGAAACTTTATGAATCTTAATATCTCATTTTTAAATTTTGTTCCACGTCATTAGTAAATGCATAAAAGAAAAAGAAAGCCAAATAAAAACTTCCTGTTGGGAACACAACTTAAACAATTTAAAAAAAAATATTTAAATGAGCCAAATTGTTTTTCAGGCTCACAAGATACTTTAGACTATTTCAGCATGTATGCAGATTTTTAAAAACTTTTTACTGTGGAAGTGAGGTTGCTTTTTATGATACATTTATTGAGACAACTTGATGCAACTTATGAAGCAGCTATGTTAGTCTGTCATGAGACACATCTGTTTTAATGAACTGGAAAGAAATTGCTTCATACACTGTTCCTTCTGTTGTGCTTTTTTAAAAAAATAATTTTTATTTTAAAATTTAACAATGCTAAAGCATAATACAAACTAAAATTAGAAAATAATAGAAAAAATGCAAAGT